CATTATTTCCCCATTTCTATCCCATTATTCCCCATTTCTATCCCATTTTCCCCATTATTTCCCCATTTCTATCCCGTTTTCCCCATTAATTCCCCGTTTCCCACATCCCAGGGGTCGGAAGTTGACTCCGCAGGGGCAGCGGGACCTGGATCGCATCGCGGGGCAGGTGAGGCTTTGGGGGCAATTCCCAGGAATTGGGGCATTTTGGGGCCAATTCCCAGGGTTTGGGGCATTTTGGGGCCAATTCCCAGGGTTTGGGGCATTTTGGGGCCAATTCCCAGGGCTTGGGTCATTTTGGGGCCAATTCCCAGGATTTGGCTCATTTTGGGGCCAATTCCCAGGATTTGGGGCCAATTCCCAGGATTTGGCTCATTTTGGGGCCGTTCCTGGGATTGGAGCCGTTGCCGGGATGGGGCTGTTTGGGGCCAATCCCGGCCTTTTTTCCCATTTTCCCTGTTTTTCTCCCCATTCCCAGGTGGCCGCCGCCAGCAAGAAGCACTGAGGGAGCCAATAAACCCTGAACCCCCCTGAGCCGGAGTTGTGTTTGTGGGGGAAACACCCAAAACGGGGGAAACGGCCCCAAAACTGGGGGGAAAAGCTGCAATTCCCAGCAGGGATCCCGAAAAAGGGGGAAAAGCCCCAAAACAGGGAGCGGGAGGGGGGGAAAGGGGAGGGAAACGGCCCAAAATTGGTGGGAAACCACCTCAGAATTGGGGGGGAAATGTCCCCAAATTTTAATGAAATCCCAAAATACGGTCTCAAAATAGTGGGAAAAAGCCCATAATTGGTGGGAAAGCAGCTCAAAATCACTTTGGCTCAGAAAATGAGGAGTTTGCCTCAGAAAAAATGAGGTTTTAGCACAGAAAATAAGGTTTTTACCAGAGAAAATCAAGGGTTTCACCCCAAAAACTGAGGGGTTACCTCAGAAAGCAAAGGTTTTACCTCAGAAAATGAGGGGTTTTTCCTCTGAAGATGTGGGGTTCGTCTCAATAAAATGACGTTTTACTGCAGAAAATGAGGTTTTAACCCCTCAAAACGAGGTGTTCGTCCCCAAAATCGAGGGGTTTGCCTCAGTAAATGAGAGTTTGCCTCAGAAAAATGAGGGGGTTTCTTCAGAAAATGGTGTTTTACCTCAGAAAACTGGGGGGGTTTACCTCAGAAAATAAGGTTTTAACCTGCTGTAAGTGAAGGGTTTGCCTCAGAAAGTGAAGTTTTACCCCTGGAAATGAGGTTTTAATTGCACAAAACAAGGAGTTTACAACCCCCCTCCCAAAAAGTGGGGTTTGTGTCAGTAAATGAGGGGTTGTCTCAGAAAATAAGATTTTAACCCCCAAAAACAGGGGTTTGCCTCAGTAAACGGGGCTTTATCTCGGGAAAATGAGGGTTCACCCCAAAAAAACCGGATTTTTTTGACCTCTGAAAAGAAAAAAGGGGCTCGCCTCAGAAAAACGAGGTTTTAACCCCCAGAAAGAGGGGTTTGCCTCAGCGAATGACAGTTTGCCTCATAAAAGCCACTGTTTTCCTCAGAAAACTTGCGTTCCCCGCAGAAGGCGCCGGTTTTTACCTCAGAACGCGAGGTTTTCCCCTCAGAAAAGGCTCCTTTTCCCCTCCCGCCGCCGCCGCCGCTCCCTGAGGGGCCGGGGAGGGGGCGGGGCGAGGCCGCCGCGGCGGCCGCCGATTGGTCAGCTCGCCGGGGGGGGCGTGGCCTCAGAAAGGGCGGGAAAGGCGCCTCAGGAGCCGCCGCCATTTTGTGCGCGGCCCCTCACGGAGCCGCGGCGGATCCGCGATGGCCCCGCGGGCTCCGAGCGGGGAATTCCCGCTGCCGCCGCCTCTGAGCCCTTCGCACGCGCGTGGGGTTCACCGTCGCACCCTCGGGGTGTCCCTGCGGCGGTTTGAGACCCCCCCCTCTTCCCCCCCCCCTCCCCCCGTAGGTGAGCTCTCCCTCAGGGCCGCGGGGGGTGATGGCAGCCTGACCCGCTGAGGGGGCAAAGGGTGACCCCCCCTCACACCCCTTCAAGCCTTCACCCCTTCCTGAGGGTGTCACCGCTCTCCTCCCGCGCCTCAGGGCCGTTCCAAAGCCGGTTTTGCCGCTCCCACCCTGCTCCCTCAGCCTGGATCCCCTCAGGGCAGTGGGAGAGGAGGGCAGGGCCCCCCTTCCTCCTTCTCATCCTCCTCCTGAGGGGTTTCTTAACCCTGCTCCCGCTAAAGGCATTTGGGGACCCATTTACCCCCTCCTGGGGAAATTCGGGGGTAAAGCTGCAAAAATTGGGGCTGTTTGTGTGTTTGTCCCTACTTCAGCTCTGTTTTGGCCATTTCAGCCTCATTTTGGCCATTTCAGGCTCGTTTGGGTCCTGTTTAACCCTCTGTCCGTTTAAGCTGGGCTTTGTCCTTGTTTGACCCTGTTTTGGCCGTGTTTGGTCCCATTTGGGCCGTTTTACCCCTGATTTGTCCCTGCTTGGGCCTGTTTGGGCACTATTTGGTCCAATTTTGGTTTGTCCCCATTTAGCCCCATTTTATCCGTTCTTAGTCCATTCATGGCCATTTGAGCCCCATTTTGTCCCCTCTTAGTCCCATTTTGACCGTGTTTCCTCATTTTGTCCCCATTCAGCCCCTTTTTGGCTCTGTTTAACCCTGTTTTGGTCCCATTCAGTCCAATTTTAGTCATTTAAACCTCATTTAGCCCCATTTCCCCCCCCTTAGCCCCATTTTGTCCTCATTTGTCCCCATTTTGTCCCTCTTTAACCCCAGTTTTTCCTAGCTTAGCTCCATTTTATCCCCACTTACCCCCATCCTTCCCCCTTTTAGCCTCGTTTTTTCCACATTTAACCCGATTTTGTCTGTTCAGCCCCCTTTTTCCCCATTTAGCTCCATTTTATACCCATTTATCCCCCTTTTGTCCCCATTTCCCCCCCTTTCCCCCCACTCCGACCCCCTTTAGCCCCGTTTTTCCCCCCTTTTGGCCCCGTTTCCCCCCGTTTCGTGTCCCTCCCCCCCTCCCCAGGCTCCTTCCCCGGACGTGCCCCGCGTCCCGAGCGGGCCCGGGGGGGGCCCCGAACGGCCCCAAAAAGGGGCTGCAGGGGGTGGGGGACCCCCCGAGGACCCCCCTGTGCCCCCCCCGTTGCTGAATGGCCGCGCTGTTCCGGCTCAGAGCCGCCTTTGTTCCGCACGGGGGGGGCCGGGGGGGCCGCGGCTGCCATGGCAACGCCGGGGGGGGGCACGGCCGGGGGGGGGCTCCCGGAGCGTTGGGGGACCCACGACCCCTTTGGGGGGGTCCCAGGGCCCTTTTGGGGGGTCTCAGCCCACCCTGGGGGGGCCCCAGTTCTGGCTGGGGAGGGGGGGGTGTCTCTGGTCTCAATTTGGGGTCCCCAAATCCCACCCTGGGGTCCCCCTATTCCAGCTGGGGGGGGGCTCTGATCCCATCCCCGACCCCCCCCAATTCCCCCCTCAAGGTGCCCCCGTTCCCCCTTGGGGTCCCCAAACCCCCCTCAGGGTCCTCCCATCGCCCCCCAAGGAGCCCCAGTAACCCCCTTGGACCCCCCCATCTGCCTTTGGGGTCCCCAATTCCCACTCAGGGTCCCCCCATCCCCTCCCCATTCCCCCCTGGGGTCCCCCAGTCCCCCCCAGGGCTCCCCCCTGGACTCCCCCGTTCCCCTTTGGGGTCCCCATTCTCCCCTCAGGGTCCCCAGTTTCCCCCCCAAGGTCCCCCCATCACCCTCCAGAGACCCCCAACAACCCCCTGGGCCCCCCCAACCCCTTCGGGGGTCCCAATTTCTCACCCGGGGGGTCCCTGATCCCATCCTGGGGTCCCCATTAACCCCCCCAGGATCCCCAATTCCCCCCAAGGATCCCCCCAGGACCCCCCATCCTCCTGGACCAAAGACCCCCAACAACCCCCTGGACCCCCCCCCAATCCCCCTTTGG